AGTGAATCCCTTGAAAAGCTTCATTTCCCCTCAGGGATACACCCACACCAGCTTGAAGATCGCTACATCACCTTAGTACCAAGCTCCTGAACAAGTACGAGATTTCTCCTACACTTTTTTCCTTAACATAACCTTAGTTATAAGTAGATATTTAATAAAGACCAGGAAGGATCTGACAAAGGAGGTAGAGAGCTTGTTCTTAAATAGACTTTGACACAAGACTCTCTGTCCCAGGAATCTTCTGTGTACTCTATTTTCCCTATGAAAAATGGGGGCATCACATCATCACAAAGTATTATAAGGGTTGCACAGATTATAAAACAATATAAGACTTCTGGAAGGAATTTCAAAAGGAATGTGTATTCTCAATACCCAGCATTTTATCTGACAGAATTTATATTACCTGTCATAGTTTTCCTATCATAGGGCATGGTATCAGGAGGAAGGAAAAAACAAAGAACAAAAAAAGAAGGGTGGGCTTGAGAGTGACTTTGAAGGAATTCTAGCTATATTTATTCCCTGTTCCCTTGTACCTCTTGCTGCTGACCATGTTGACAGGGAGATTTTTTTAAATGACAGAATCAGGTACTTATAGAGGACTAGAAGGAAATATTGCCCAAGGTCAGAAGTGGCCTTTCGTGGGCTGTCCTTGAATCTAGTAGAATATTTCACTTATTAGATGAATCTTTAAGACTTTCTTTTCTTTTCCCAAGCAATCATTTTCCAAGGGCAATAATTATGGCAAAATTACTGATTTAGAAGTATGATGGAACTCAACTTTAAATTTATAACACAAGAATTTATAAAACCACAGAAAAGGCTCAACTTAAAAAGATTTTTACAGGGGCACCTGGGCAGCTCAGTTGGTTAAATATCTACCTTTGGCTCAGGTCATGATCCCAGGGTCCTGGGATCAAGCCCCTCATGAGTCTCCTTGCTCGGTGGAGAGTACTTCTCTCCCTCTCCCTGCTTATTTTCTTTCTCTCTCTCTCTCAACTAAATAACATCTTTCAAATAAATAAATAAATAAACAAATTTCAAATAGCCTAATTCTGCCTACCTTTACTTTAGTTGTCTAGTTTTCCCTTGAACTATTTAAATAATTTACCTTATTCTTTGATTGGCTGTAAATATAACTCCCTTCTTTCTGATACAGTATATATTAATGAGATTTGTTATTTCCCTTTCTAAACCACCCCAATGCACCTTTTTTTTTTTTTAAGATTTTATTTATTTATTTATTTATTTGACAGAGAGAGAAAGCAAGAGCACAAGCAGGGGGAGCAGTAGAGGGAAAGGGAGATGCAGGCTCCCCACTGAGCAGAGAGCCAAATGTGGGGCTTGATCCCAGTATCCCAGTATCATGACCTGAGCTGAAGGCAGACGCTTAACCAACTGAGCCATCCAGGCACCCCTAAATGCATCTTTTAAAAGAAGTTTCCTTCCTTACACCTGTGGCCAGGTATAAGAGGTACAAGAGAACTGGGAATATATAGCTGGAATCTCTTGAAGTCACTCTTAAACTCACCCTCCCTTCCTTTCTTTGCAAGTCTTTTCCTTCCTCCTACCAGTAGATGAAAACATTTAGAAGTGCACATATAGTATCTTGCTATGTATTTACGATACCTCTTCCTAGAAGATAATGTGTGAAATGAAGAACATCAGAGTTTGGGGTCTGAAGACCTGAGACTGAACATGATTTTAGACAAACCACTTAACTTTATTGAGCTTTTATTTACTTGTTTAGGAAATGGTAATAACTTTCCTCTGACATTACCCCACGTATGGGAAAGACATGTATGAATGCAGACATGTTTTCAGACAGTCAATATAAACAACCCAATGAAACAAATTTTCTCTGCTTTATAGAGTTTAAATTCATAAAGAAAGGGCAAAGAAGATATCTCAAAGTCTGGTCTTATTTTTAAAGAATCATTCACATGTCTTATTTGTAAATGTATAGCTTTTTTATGCTTTTAATAATGAAACTAGAGGGGAAAATCAGTTCAGCTGAACATACAAATAGTTTTATCAACATAGTATTTGCAGAGAAAGAAATTCATTTAATCGAAATATCACAACACTGAATTTCACACTTAAACCCACATGCAGATTGTAGGATTATGTTACAGAATGTTTTGATCGAATGTGTTAAATATAAAAATAATTCAATGCAATTTCCATTTAGCACATTGTACAAAAGCCATTCTTCAATAGAATTAACAAGTTTACAATCTTTCTTATAAGGTGCTATGTATTCAAAGTGCTCTGTAGCATTGAGGTTGAGATTAGGAAACAAACACTGGAGAGTTCCTCAGTAATGCAGCTCAGTAATAAATGAAATCGGATATACTGTAGATGAAACCCACTCATTAATCCTAAGACAGACCATGGCGATCTGTGGTGCGCTGTGAGAGGCACTCATCCTTGGTGGGGGGTGGGGCTGGAAGATGTCATAAACACATCATTACGGTCATAATAAAAATAAGCTTCAAGTTGAATCCATCACTTTTATAGTGAGTACCCTTTCCTAGAGAAAAGGAGAAAAACAGAGGCACAGAAAACAAAAGAGGCAGAGAAAGTTCACAATGCTTCTGCAGTCCATTTTCCTCCTGAGATTAATCCTCAGTACAATCCAGAGTCCACAACAGCAGTTCCAGACTTTAGAGTCCATGAGAATTACCTGGAGGGTTTATTAAACACCCACTGCGAGGCCCCAGCCACAGCGTTTCCAATTTAATAGGTGTGAGAGGAGGGCGGGAATTAGTATTTTTGGAACAGTTCCAGGTGATGCTGATATCCTCATCAAGGGACCACATTTTTGAGAACCACAGGTCCGTTATATCTTTGATCAAGGGCTCCTTTATTAAAATGAAACATACCTAGAAAGTAGGGCAGTCTGCATAGATTGTATGATTTAAGGCACCAGTCCTCAATTTTAGCTACATAATAGTAGTAGTAGAATAGAATAGTAGTAGAGTAGAATCAACTGAATTAAAAACAAAGACAAAAACAAAAAACAAAACCCAAAAAACAAAACACCTGATGCCTACACCCATCTAAAAGTAATTAAACCCACATCTCTAGGGGAGGGGGCCAGGGGTTGAATCATTCATGAAAGTGCTCCGCACAAGTCTAATGTGTAGTCCAGCTGGAGAATCTCTGCTTTAGGAGATTTTGTTCATCTCCTCATGGGAGAAAACATGGCCAAACATATGTGACTTTTAGGGTATTGGTATAGGAACAAAGGCATCTTCAGGGAAATCATAATCCCCAGTAGGCACACGGAGGCACAACTATTTCTAGTAATATCAAGGGGTAATTTAGAAAGTGATTCTGTTGATTTACAATGCCCTGCAAGGTTAGTTCACAGGTTTGAAATAACAGAACTCGGGCAGGTGAGCAGCACACTAATTTAATCCAAGTTTCTTTTCCATCAAATGACATCAACCAAAGAATCGAGTCTAGAATGTTGGTGTGTGTACTGATGTGCCATGTTTACCTGCTATAATTATTGTTACTCATTTCAGTCAGCTTAATTATTTACTACTCCAATTTACATTTGAATGGACCTATAAATAAGGCCCCCAGGGACAAAATGCTACCAGCAGTTAAGTCTACCTCAGAAAGCAAAACCACAGAAACACAAACAAACAAAAAAAAACAAAAAAGGGCATTTGAAATAAGATTGACACTTTACTCTTCTAGCATAAATAAGATGAATAAATAAGTGTAGTAAATCAACATTCCATAGAATCCCTTTCTGGAAGGATTTACAGGGCTGGAGCAATTTTTAGTACTGAGTGTACACGAAGGACCTTTAGAGCTCATTTTCACAAACCAAGTCATTAAAGCCCCAAGCCACAGACTTTAAATAAAACTCTAATGTATGAAACCGGAACTAATATTTGATTATAAATAAAAAGGAGTTTAAACAAACCCCAGATGTGAGGACTGAGCCTTTCAGGTGATCTTTGGTAAAAGTCAAACATTTGAAAGCTATCAATTGGATTTGAATAGAGACACGTTAGTTATGTTGAATACATAACAGCCTCACAGTCTTCCATTAGAAACTGCGGCCCCTAAGGAGGGGTCCTACAGAAGGATCCAGTTAATTTTAAGGTGTTTTCTGTGCTACTGACCAACACTGCTGGACTGCGAACCGGCTTCGACAAGCAAAATGATTAAAAAAAAAAAAAAAAAGGTAAAAATCTAAAGTCGAAGTGAGATGCTTGGGTGAATCTTTCTCCAGTCTTAAGTCTTCCAGAAGACATCTTTCCAAACATCCTGAAAAATAATAAAAAGGACAGAACGATGTGTAAAATCACTCAGGATAGTAGAAACTGGGCACTGAGAATAAGACGGCATCAGGGAAATAGCAGGAATACAGGAAATGCTAAAAATAATTTTAGCCTTTAGTTACAATCTGCAATATTTTACATATATTTTTATAATGTGTATATATTTTTCATATTTTATAATTTATGCTATATGTATATTAAGCTTCACAAAAACTGCAGAAATGAAGGCATACAGCCCATTTAAAGGCAAGTAGTCACAGCCATCCTTTTAAACACTCAAAGGGAAATCAAGTTGGGAATAGAGTTTGATTCTTCTTGTCTGTGGTGTATCCCTGTGGCCCATTCTCTTTAATTCATCTCCAGGACCCTGGAAAGGAGACATAGGTTTCACCTCCTCAGAGAAATGTGCTTGCAGAGCAGAGAACATGACTTGGGGGTACAAAAGGGGTAAAGTGGGTGCCTGTGTGCGTGTTGGCCCCATCACATCGGTCTTCTCCAGCTCCTGTCCTCAGGGGCTGGGGGCTAAGCAGCAGAGCCTTGAGAATTGGCACTGCTGGGTGCAGGTGTATGCAGGGACAGATGAAGGTTTGAGCCTGACCAAAGGGGAGGGAATCTCAGGTGGGGAATCTGTTAAATTCTGCAAACAGAGCAGGCTTAAACTCACCTTCTGCCCCAAAGTCTCTTAGGCCTTCATGTTGTTCAAGGAGGCATCTGCATTTGCACGTTCTCCTTTTCTCTCTGCACTGTAAGCTCTTGGCTCTCTTGGCTTTCCGTGTAATCAGGTTTTACAGGGAGCGTTTGCGGGCCCTGTAGACTCTCTCTCCTAGGCTCTGACTCTCTCCCTCGGGACACTCCTGGGCTGAATTCTTGAGCTGCACCCAACTCTTGCCCGTCTTCACAGCTCCCCTGGCCAGCCTCCTCTCCCACAGACTCTGCCCGCTGCATGGTTTCGACTCCCCGGCCCTCTGGATCCTGCCCTAGCTGTGGGGTCATCCCTCCCCGGTGTGAAGGTTCTTGTGGAGCCCCCACCTCAGCCTCTGGTACCCAAGTCCCCGGCACCTCCTCCCTGCTCGGAGCTCTTTCCTCTGCCACCACCTTCTCAGCAGCTGTCGGTTTCCCTAGTAACCCCTCCACTTCGTGCCAAGTTTCCTTGCCAGCAACATCTGACAGGGAGGAGGCTTTATTTGCCTCTGTTTTCCCCTCAGCTGTCTTCAAATCTGCCAACACCTCCCTCTGCTCTGCAGCCGTTCCTGCCCCGTCGTCTTCTTGGTGGAGAACTTCCTCAGCCACCACAGCTCCCACTTGCCAGCTCCCATCCCCCTCTGTGTCTCCGTGCCTCCTCACTCCTGTCATCGGAATGCACTCTTTATCTGCCTCCTCATCCATAGCTTCTTCACTCAGCTTTTGTGCCATCATGGAATCTTCCTCAGAAACATCTTCTTGGGTCATCGCTGTGACCCCTGCTCCTTGCTGCCTTCGCAAAGACCCTTCTTCATCCCCCGCTTCCAGTCGCAAGATGCTATCTTGATCTTCGGCTGCGTGCTCCTGAGCCTCACCCGTGGCTGTGATCTCTGCCTCTGGCACTTGCCCCTTTCCTGCTTGTTCAGTTTCAGGAGCTTCTAACACACCCTTCCCCTCAGGGCCCGGCCCTTGGTCCTGCCCCGAGGGAGCCCCGTTCTCCCTGGGGAGCAGCTCTGCTCTGCCTTTGTGCTCTGGGTCCTGGGGTTCTCTCAGTCTTTCCTCTCCTTCCTCTTTGCTCAGAGCACTTGTGTTTTCCAGTGACCCCTCATATCCAGGTGCCCCCTCAAACATGGTCCCCCCCATCTCTCTTAGTGAATCTCCTCCTTGCAGCCCTACGTCTTCAGTCAACTCCAACCCCGTGATGGGGGCTTCACCCTCTGCATCACACTCCATTTCATTCTGGGAGACTTGTGGCTCTTCCTCGGGTCTCACTTCCTTCGAGGTTTCCTGCCGTTCCCCTTTAAACTTTTGCTCACCCTGCCCTGCATTTGCCCCTGTCACCTCTTCCCTCTCAGATTCAGTTTCCTCCAGAGGGGATTCTGGCCTCTCAGCTTTCTTCCTTTCTTCTGCTACACCTAATTCCCTGGGTAGCATTTCTTTCCTGTCATCTTCTTTATTAGATTCTGCCTCCATCCCAACCTCCTCCCTTTCCACATCATCCAGGCTGTTCTCCGAAAGCCCCATCCAGGCTGCCTCAGCCTTCTCCGAAGCTGAGGAGCTCAAGGGTGTCCCTGGTCCCATGGCTGCCTTCCTCTCTTCGGCCTGTTCTTCTCCCCCAAGCATTGCCTCTGCTGAACCACCTTCTCTCTCAGAGGCAGCATCTCCCGCGGCTCCCAGGTCCTTTAGGTCTGCAGATGCTTGCTCTTCCCTAGTCACCACCTCAGGCTTTCCAGACCCTGCTGCATTCACGGCCTCCGCTCTCTCAGCCTCTCTCTCCTCTGCCTCCCTCAGGGCTGTGGCCTCCTGCATACACTCTGAGTCCAGAGCTGCTTCACTTGCAAGCACTGTTTTCTGGGAGCCCCACTCCCCCTCAGCAGCTGCCTTCTCGGTCTCCAGCACTGTTGGCAACAAGGCTGCCTCTTCAAGAGCTTCATCTTCATTCACACCTCCAGAGTCTCTGGTGGCTTCTATCCCTCTGGGGCTTAACTTCTCTTCCCCTTCAGCTTCTGCCTCAGCCCCACTCACTCTGCCCTGAGGGAGCTCTCTTTCCTCTGTAAATTGTTCTATTAATGCCGGCTGCTCTGCTGTTGGCTTTCCCTCCCCCAAGGGAACCTGGTCAACCCTTGCTTTTCCCCACATTGCTGCCTCCCCTTTCTCTTCCATTGTGTCAGCATCCCCGTGCTGGGGAAGTTCACCTTCCTTCACTGCCTCTTTCTTCTCCAGTGTATACACGTCTGATACACCTTGGTTGGATTCTGTGTCTGAGCTGAGTGTTGCCATTTCCTCCAACATGAAATTCCTGTGTGGTGCTATGAAATAAGGTTAGAAAACATGGTTACTTTAACCAGAATGCCCAGGAAGGAGATATTCTATATAACCATATATGAGATATAGATAATATCAAGAAGCTATTGATCTTACATATTAACCATTTCCTCGATCCTATGATGCCATCGACTGTAATGTGCACCATGATTTAATAATGGCTCTTCATGATGAAAATAAGTGCTATCGGTTTAATGGACACATTGATATTTAAGGAAAACTGAACATCAGAAATGTTGAAAACAAATAAGATCTCCATATCTTAGAGTGGTCTCCCCCCTTTCTCTCTCTCTCTCTCAATCTCTCATATAACACACACACCACCTACTTTTATTTGAAATACTAGGACTTGCAGAAAATTATGGAATAAAAAACCAGTATTTCATCTTCTTAGAAATCACTTTGCCCTAGAGCATCATAATATGTGTGTCCTTGGCTTGTGTTTCTTGTATTCATTTGGGCATTCGGCAACACAATCACAATACAGTGTGAGCTGATTATTATCCCCTATATTACTCTCACGTTTTAAAGCTACTATATCTAGATTTAGTCATCAAATAACTTTCTAGCTCAAGGTAAGGCTTTTTACTAAAGACACTAATTTGTATTATAGGTCAGGATACCTCCCTGCCTACATTCAGAAACTGTTTTGCCTTTGGCAAAACAGGATCACAGAACAAGACAGGACTTTGTAGTCTGGGACAAATTTCAACATAAATAACCTTCTTGAAGTATTTCATAAGTTCTCATCTATAATTCCCTGGCAAATCTGGCTGTACTAGCCATCATACTTCAATAAATCTAAGTTCAATATGTTTCTTAAAGGCTGCAAATGCGTTTCTTGTTATTTAAAAAATACATGCGTTTCTATTGAAATGACCCATGCAAAATTAATAAAAGGATGTCATGCCAAATACCCAAAGCATTTACATTTTCTGACTGCAGAATAATACTTAGGGAGATAGGAAATTCTAAAATGGTCATCTTAATAATTTTGCTATCACTCTAATCTTTCTCACTTATAGAAGACACTAGACCAGCTGCTAGAAGTTATCATACCCGTGTGCCAAACTCTAAATTATAAAGTAAGCAAATGCGTCTTCCTTGTATTTTTTATTGCTTGTCTTTTTGGCCAGCCATCTAACCCCCACACCCCACCTGATTACCAAGGATCTACCAGAAACCTAAAGCCCTGATCTTATTATCTCTTCGTCCCTGTTCTGATACTCCATCCAGGACTATCTGATCATTCCATTTCCCCTCCTAACACAAAACACAACTGCTCTTTGTTGCATTCTCTCGGCCTTTTGCCAGCTAGCAACAATAAACCATTTTGAAGTAAGGTGGTAATAGCTGATACTACATTTCCCTCAAAAAGTATATTTGGAAGGTAACTTTTGGAGACTTCTTTCAAAGAAGTAACAGAAATTTCAGGTCTACCAATAGGATAGTGTTGACTTTAATAGGTGGTCCTCAGCACATCACAGCAGTTACTTACTAAATTGTAGCTACGAGTTGCTAAAGGGAAATATGGAGCCAGATGTTCCTTCAGAGAACATGTAGCTAACTCACTTGAAAGAATTTTATTTCATTTTTCATATTTCACTTCAGCCATCCATTGTATCTCATTACGATTATTGGATTTAAAACAAAATTAAATTAAAACAATGTGTGTCAAGTCTCTTTAATAGTATATCTGTTGCTATTCAAATTCTCACATGAAAGTATATTAAAAAGTCAGTTATGAAAAACATTTAAATAAAGTCCTCTGTTTTGTAAGCTGGTCTTTAAATTTATGGATTAAAGAACATTAAGGAAAACGGGAATAAAACTGCCTAGCCACCATATAATAATATACTATGCCTAAATTCTAGGAGAGAAAGGACTAATGGCATCCAGCTGAACTATAATATGAACACGCACACAATAGGGAAGTCAGACATGACATTCCTGAAGTAAGGGAGAAAGAGTAACTGAAATCCTTCTAAGAAGTACGAGTATGAAACATGACATGGTTTTTGACAGTAACCTCATGGGCTTTTGGGAAAAAAAAAAGAATATAAGACAGCAAGCGATATTCACAAATGGAGATAATTTGATTTTGTGAAATGAATGTGTACTTAGGGGTCAGACAGAACTGGATAAGAATGCCAGCTCTGCCACTTAATATCCATATCCACTTGGGAAACAAGTTCAACAAACACTTCTCTAAGCCTTCATTCTTCTATCCAAAAAATGGGAGCAGAAATGCTTGACTCACAGAATCCTTGTAATAGTTAACCATAAAATGCTTTGCAGGGTTTCTGGCACACAGAAAGCCCTATCAAGTCTTCCTTCCATACTTCCTTTCCTGCTTATGATAAATTATATTTTCTTGTTTGAATCAGATTTGATCAATAACAACTACTGTGCTTGCATTGCAGAATGTTTGGGAGGTATACCAGAACTCCTCTAGTGGAATGCTCATCATACAAGAGTTGGATTCCCTAAGCAGTTAGGGTCCTCCTCCTGTAACTCATCTACTTCATGTTCAAGTGCCACCTGGCCCTCTCCACATTCCCCACGGGTAACTGGAGCTTAGGGAACCAATGCGAGTGCAAATATTCTAGCTACTATTTGTTGTGAGTAATAAAGTCCTTTTTCTCTGACCCAAGAGTCTTGCGTCTTCTTCTGTTCACACCAGGAAACTGTGGCTGGCAAACTTGTTTGCTTGAAAATAGAGAAAAATCTCAAACACCTCATAGTGCTTAATGACTGTCTTTAAAAATTAGAGGTACTGTGACCATATGATAAACAAAATGAATAACGCTACCCCCCCCATATACACATACATATATTCAAATCAGTGCAGTTTTTAAAAGTCCTCTACTAAATACGGGGAAACCTGATTTCAAGGACACAGGGTGTTTGACCCGATGGATATGAGTCATGGTCTGTTGAATCACTCTAATTGGCAATCTTGCAGCTGGAATACTCATCACCCAGAGCCAGGTCATATGCTGATTTCCCCTAATTTAAAAAAATAAGGAGTTCAAATAAACCACTGTGAAATGTACCTTGGCCCTCTCTGTCTCCAGTGCGCCAGTTGGGCAAATCCTCCTACCTAGTCACCTAACAGGGAGGCTGACTACGAAAATAAGACTGATCTGAAAATCCCTACCAATATTTCTTCTATACTTTAAAGTCCTTTTCCCCCTCCAATCTTGGCACTAATGTATTCAAAAAAGAACAAGAACATTCATATCTGATGTCAGCTTTAAAGCTCCCCTTAAGGCCTCTCAGCCACCTCCTGCTATCAAATTCATTAGTGGAAAGAAAATAAAGGTGGAAGAAGGAGGAAACAAGGGTGGGGGGAGGTGAAAGATGAAAATGGGGCTGTCGTTCACAGAGGCTTTCTAAAGGTCTTTCCTAGGTAATGATGTGCCCTCACCTGCACCTGTGTCAGTCTCCAGCTTCCTCGAGTGCTTCTCCTCGTCTGTGCTGCTAACACCAGACTCGGCGTCATAGTGCCAGTGGCTGCCAGTTTCCACAGCCTCGACGACAGTCTGTCCAACTGATTGGAGATCATAGGAAATATCAAAAGGCACAAAAACAGGTCATGGGAACATTGCTGAACTTTTTCACATCCTTTCAGCAAGCGGGGTTAATTTTAAAGTATTCACATTAAAATGTGACCTTTTCTTTTTTTAAATCTATGAAGATTAAATCTCTTCCAAGCCATGATTTCATAAAGGAAAACACAATGGCAGATAATGAAGTAAAGAAATCCATGCAAAGAAATACTGAAAAGAGACAACAGCCAGAAGCAGTGACAGATCAGCCAAATGCACATGCAATGAAATGATGGAAAACAAGGTTTAGTTGCATTTTCCTTTCTAGAAACATATGTCATGGCTTTTATAACACCAGTCATCATGGCTTTTTGAAATTGCTAAGACTATCAGAGCTGACTATACTATGAGCATTTCATATATTAGTATATTTTAGTGATTTGACCCCCATACTCACTCCAGGTGGACACAGCAAGAAAAGCTAGTGTATGGTTCCTATATATTCGACAGTAAAAGCTGTTATAGAAATTCCTGTTCTCTGCAGCTGATAACCAGCCATGGAACTTCAGAAACACAATGACCTAAGTTCAAGTCCCATACTCCATACCAACCATGTCATCTTCAGGAAGTTCTTTGACCTAAGCCTAAGCCTCAGTTTACCCATCTGTCAAAAAAAGATACCTATGCAGTGGTTATTGGAAGGATTAAATAAAGAAATATATGTAGTACATGCTTATCTTTACTTATAAGGAGGTGCCTAAGCACTTAATAAATAATAGCTATGATGATGATGAGCATGTTGATTATAAGTATTACCAACCAATCTGGTATGATTCTAGGCAACACTGTAATATCAATTAAATTTGTCTTTCATTTCTGACATGTCCCCGTCTACATCCCTTACCTATCATCCAATGATCCATGTGCCTAAATCCCAAACACCTACCATTGTGCCACCTTCTGGTGAATTAAAGCTCACTCGAATAACACTAGACCAAGACCTGCCCCCCACCCCCCAGATAAGAACATGTCTCCAAAATACCCTTTCCTTCCTCCCTCCCTTTCTCCCTCCCTCCCTGCTTTCCTGCCTGCCTACCCTCCTTCCTTCCTTCCTTCCTTCCTTCCCTTCTTTCTTTTTTTCTCTCTTTCCTCTCACATATTCTGGTTCAATTGATCCAAAAACTGTACTTTGAGAAAAACAGAACTAAAATGCAGTCTCTTGCACACTTTAAGGTGAATTGCTAAAGGGTAATTAGTTACTTATTGATTCATCTGTGTTTAGAAGCAAATAGTAAAATGTCTGCCTCATGTGGCTTTTGGGGACAAAAATGGAATGACTTAACTTTATTAATATTAAGAGAATAAACATGGAAATGAAAAGAGGTATATCAAATAGTTCAAATTCTATTTTAAATAATTGTTTAACAACTTTC